ATATATGATCGGCCCTTCGGCTTTCCTCGAATAAGCTAAGAGAGGAAAAGAGAAGCCAGCTGAATAATCCATCGAACGTAATGTCAATCAAAATCGACGCTCGGTTCGCGATTAAGACACGCGAGAAGCGAACGAACGGTGCATGATTTGACGGCATTCGTTCCGCGGCAACGACGTAATGGACCGACCGAGATGAAGTGGCTTCGATTCAACAACCGGATAATTCGATCGATGAATCGAATTCGTCGCTTGCTTTTAGATGCCGCACCGATTAATCAAGATAAAGTGGAAACTCTTGCATATTTAAAAGATTCGTTCGAAAACAGTCTATAAATGGCCGACGCAAAATTTGTTTCCATCACGTTTCGACGAAGCTTATACTACTCTGTTAATTTAATTTTACGACTGTCCGATAGTTTTCAACGTTCACCAGCAGCGCGATGTAATTGCCCAAAAAGTTAATCGAATATATCGGTAAAATTGGTTAAATTCCGGGACATCGACTAGGAAATTGTACGGCTCTGGAATCTCGGCTCGGCTACGGAAAATGCCTCCGTGTCCCCGAGATAAATGTTGCAATAATATTTCGCACACCACCGTACGTCGTTACAGGGACGGAACTAGGGGGAACGAGAGGGTGGCGACGGCGTCGTTCAAACTCACTGAAATCCTCGAACATCGTCGGAGAAGTCCGCGAGCACGATTTAAGATTGATTCGACGAGCTTCCAGCGCATTTATTTAGTGGGCCGCGAGGAAACTCGGTCTCCGTTCGCGTGAAAAATCACTGATATCTCACCGATGCGTTTGCACGTCGCCTTATACATGGATCCCCTATAGGGCGAGACTCTCACCTGTGCATTATTCGAACTTAAATGCATGATCGTTTCGACGCTGCTAGCACCGATCGGATCGTCGATAAGCGTATATTCCTTTGGAACTCGTTGAAAAATTGCGATCGTTAAATCACTTGTTTAATTTACAAATTTCAAATAAGGAACAATCCACCGAAGACAGAGTTTGTAATTTATGTTCGGAATTTCCAATTTCCCTTAGCTCATCTTATAGACATCCACCCTGGTCATCGGTTATCCAGGAAAACACGAAGACGCTTTAAAGGTATCACCAACTTTCGAGACACATTTTAAAAGACAGAGACGTCGACAAGTTACCCCACGGCCAACTCTACGTTTCCATCCCCGCGACGAAAGCATCCACCCCTCTTACAAAGGGGAGCAACGCTTCGTTATCGAAGAATTGATCTGATTAGACGATAGGCCCTTTCGTCGAAACTTTTCACTGGACATCCCTCTTGGTTCCCACGTCTCGCGAGAATCGGGTTTGCGAATTAGGGACCGCTTAAACTCCCTACTTTTACCCCGTTTCGACCAACAGCGGTCGAGACGCTCGTCGATGGTCTAAGTTTCATTCGAGACATGCTACGTTAATTGCCGCGCTCCCCCAGCAGGTTAAAAGAGTCGCCACGCTGGCTCAAATTCCGTCTCGGAAAGTTCACGGGTACTTGGGAAATTTCTGATTACGACAAAGAAAGAAAAGTATACGACACCGAAACCACAACCGAGGAAAATTCGAATGATCGGGTCGTCCCGAATTAGGTTGCAGAGTCTACCTCCCTTTCGTCAAGCCACGAGATGGGACTGGAGGGGTGGGGTGCGGCGATGGAAAAGCTCGAATTTTCACGGTCGCGTATCAAAACTCCGACGAACAACGTAGCAGCGCAATATTGTTGCACGTGGCATGCGCTTGACAAGAGTCGACGAGTCGCGGCTAGAATTTCCGCGATATCTCGAAGCGGGCTCGCGTCAAAGAGCACACGTGCGATAGCAATTAATTTCATTAGTAACGAAGTAATTAGTTCGAGCGTCGGTGTATCGCGTTGCTTCGTATGCACACCCTTCGACTACTCGAAAGAGTTACCTTCAGAATTTCAACTACGAGGATCGACGTTGCCGGTATCTTCTCGTTACGGCAAACATCGGAAGTAAAAAAAATCCGACTAACAATTTTCGCGAGAATGCGACTACGGAAGAATTTCTGTTATCGATTCAACTATAATTATCCGTTCGATTCGAAATTTACCACGACCGCCTAATCAAACCTATTCCGCCAAACAACTTAAACTAAAAAAAGAACTTGGGAAAAGTATAGAAAATCCAAAGCGACCAATGTTTTGCGATCACCAACACGCTTACCGAAATTTGTCCTCGCGAAGGAAAACAGAGTCTCGATCGAAAGACCGACTCGAACCGCTGATCCTGATGATACCTTTTCCCCGATCCGCTACTCCTCGGAATAAAACGAAAGGAAAGACAAAAGGACAAGAGTAGAGCACCAAAAAAAAATAGAGAAAATAGAAAGCCGAGATGATGGGAGAGTTGGGAAGGGTAGGGGGAAAGAGATCGATCGGCATCGAAGCGGACCTAGACGACCAAGTCCGACGAGAAACGTCGAAGGCACGTCGAAGTAACGGGCAAAGCGCGACGAAGGCAGGTAATCTCGCTACTCTTGGACCGCTCATTCGAATCCCACGCTAAATTTCAATCTGACGTGTACAAAAGTCGAGCCCTTCCGCTCCCGCCCCGAATCGGTTTCTCGTGACAGAGGAACGACTCGTGCTCGAGGCAACGGTCCATTTCTGCGATCCTCCGCCCGATCTCATCCCTTCCCACCCCCCTTGGCCACGTACAGCTTCGCTGCACACGTGTGCATCGGTCCATTTGAGTCTAGTCACTCGAACGCGCGCTAGTACATCGCCGAGCAAAAGTTTCCGCCCGATCAGGGACTCGTTTTTCTCTTTTGGCAACATCCATGATAAGTAAAAGACGATAAGCTTCTGGCATTAAAAGATCAAGAGATGTACGTAAAGGATGATGTGAAAAGTGTAAGCGACTGTTCGTTCGAATTTGTTCACGCGTTCGAGGAATTCAGGGGGGAGCGATTCGTACGTTATCGAATTAAAGGGGTAGCAGCGAAGAATCCCAAACTACTCCGAGGAGCTTTCTACTCAGCCCGCAAATTGCTCGTTGTCACTCGTAGTAACACTCGCGATTCCAGGAAACGCGAAAAACTCTCTTTGTCGTACCACGAAGTCTATCCGGAACCTTAACAATCCCCTCGAAGGAGACTAAAGAACGATTCGTCGACGAGAAGCGATCGAGCGGAGGTCAAGACGAGTTTCGGTTGTCGTCGCTGTAACTTTTTGGCCGATAGTGTACGTGTACGGGTGCGTGCGTGTGCCACGAAGTGCCACCCCCGCCGATCGAGTCCTTTTAAGCCAAGCCATCCCCTTCCGACGGCGTATCCGTGCCCACCCGCCGCTACCCTCTTTACTTGCGTCCATTTCCCTCGATACAGTCCTGGCAATCCGTGGTGTATCGGCTCGCGTATACACGGCTCGGGCACAGCGTCGCGGCGCACCTAATTAAACTTCGCCAGCGTGGGAGAGCAGTAGAGCACGTTAGACTTTCATTCGGTCTGGGCTTTCTTGCGTCCCTCCGCGAATCGAACGAGCTTTCGGGCTTCTTCCGCGAATTGCGCCGGGGAGGGTAGGATTTTTTGAGCTCCGTATCCGGCCGACTGATTTTATTCCATCCTCCCGCCCCACCGCCCCACCGCCCCACCGCCCCACCGCCATTCTATGTCGTTTTCTATTAGGACGACGAGAACGCCGGGGAAAAATGAAAGTTCGAATCGCGTCGGAGGGCGCGTTTTCAACGAGAAAGCTCTTTTTTGTCCCGAGACTCTTCCGGAAAATCATTCCGAGACTTATTTCAATTTCGAGTGGCTTTCTTTATATTTCATTTTTATTTTATTTTTACCATCACCGGATACGATAGAATCGCAAGAAACGAATTACGGTAGGGCCTATACTCTACTTAGGTACCGTTCGTTCGTTCGTTTATTTAAAGTGCGTAACTTATTATACAAAGTTATTGCACTACTGCTTACTTATTATTAGCTTATTTCCATTCTTTTTATCATCGTCTTACATGACTCCTGGATTATTTTAATACTGTTTGCGGTATCTCTTACTTCTCATCTATTGGGGCCCGCTGGCCTCCTTCTAGCTCGGCTACCTCGGGGTTATTAAACCTGTACTGTAGCTACAAACACCGCTACAGCCCCTGAGAGTAACTTAGGTACCCCTCTGTCCGCGGGCAAACGTGGAAATCGCGTTCCGTAGTATTATCCTATATAGTTTCTCGATCGAGATCGAGTAACCGACGAACCGAACGAGAGCTATCAGAAATGTTGCAAACTAAAAACGAAATAAACAGTGTGAGAACGATATGCCTTGGTTCCCCAAAAACATCGAGCCTATCCGCGATTAATTTGCTCGTGAAACGGACGGGTCGATGGTCTCCGATTAATCGAGGAGACGGCCGATCAAACGGACTTCCGGAACGATCGAACGATCGTCTAGAATCTAGAAGGGTTCGAAGTGGCCGGATCAAGGGCACGAGCGTTCTTCCGCCCTTGGGGCTCGTTAAAGGAAGCTAAGAAGGACAAATCCGATGTAATATCTAACGACTACGATAGGCGATAGGCGATCGGGTTATTTATTTCATTCTATAACTTCTACCAGAGACTCGTTAAAAAATTGCTAAGGGAAATGTTCGCGAATGTTCTAAGGGACGGTACTTAATCGAAAGGATCGCGATATCTTCCTTCTCGCCAGAGAAAGACGACAGTTGGACAAATCGACGGTAAAAACAACGCGATCGAAGGCTCGCGAGTTTAACGCGCCGAGACATCCGAATAGTTTAAATAGTATTTTTTTTTTTTATCTTTATTCATCCCGACTCGGAGGGAGACTCCGATACAATTTAAATATCTTGTTCGCGACGGCGAAGGGAAACGCTAGGGATAATTTGCATACTTATTCCGTTGTTGTTTTTTTTCTCTTTACTTTGTCTCCAGCGCGGAGGAAGACGCTCGTGTAATTTAAGTAAAATATTAAAGTGATGTATTTTGATATTACCATATGAGTTGTGAAACTGTTGATGGTGAGTCTCGAGACCGGTTCCTGGGTGGTGGATATCCAGCATGGCTTCCGGCTCGCCTCCGCTCTCAGAGCAGTTGCTCAGGGCTAAAACCAAACCGATAGACACACACCTTGCGTTTAAACTTCAAATCAGTTTTCAATGGCGGCGATCCGTCATAGCGCGGAATACCCTCGCTTATAATTTCTTTCGCGTTTTTCCGGCTCGCGTTCCGATTTTCGTCGGCTTCCTTTCCCTTTTCCCTCGAGCGTTTAATCACGGTATCGTGTTCACTTTACGATGGAAACGTTACTTTCGGTTCTCGAATTTGTTCTCGTTCGTTTACCCGAAATTATGTTCGTCCGCCAGAAATTGTGAACAAAGAGAAGAAAAAGTCACGTTTCCAGGACTAATGAGACGCGAACGAATCGGTGCCGAATTATCCAGCGTCTGGGAAAGGAAGGTCGGCGACGAAAATCATCGTTTCAATTCTATCTCTATCGTTTCAGAAATGAATCGTGGCGCGTGTTACGTGACTTCGTTCTCCGTTTCCCCGTTCAGGTACGAACAAATTGAACAAAATCGGTAAAAAGTGGAGTAAACGTGCCCCGAGAAAGAAATCATAAAACACAAAGCAGGGGTATGTCACACGTGTTCACTTAAAAGGTACTCACAACTTATAGATACACAAACTAAACCGTTCGATCGACGACGATCGACAGCGTCTTCGGGCCTTTACGAGATCGATCGATTCTAAACTGCGCGATAAAGTAAGATTACCAGTTTCACAGATGACGCAACGTCTCTGAAAGAGTGACCGTACACGTTCGAGCATTCGCCGTCGAAATCTGGCAATATCCAGGCATGGCAAACGACGATACGAATCTTGAAACGATCAAAAAATGATTCTTTTTCCGCTACAAAACGTAGCGCAAACGCCAAAAAAAAAGTATCGTGTCGACGTCGTTTCCGCAGCCTCCTCTTCGCTCACGATCGATCGCGATTAACGCGGAAAATGTCAGATTCAAACTCGCCGTCGAAGACGCTGCCTCGCTAGAACCGTCAACAAAATCTACGCTGAAAAAAAAAAGACCCAAAGGAAAAACAGAAGCGAAAGAAGGGTAGACGGTTGAAACGAAAGAAAAGACAGAAATTAAAGTACGCGAAGGATCGGGCGAAGCGATGGGAAAAGGAGACGGGACGGAACGTTATCGCGACCAACTGAAACCAGAGATGGGCAAAATTTGATTCGAATAATAGATAACGAAAACAACTCCGAATAGCTAGATCGTTACAACTTTGCTTCGTTCGCGGCGAATTATTTTATTGTACAATGTCATTTGTAATTTAATTTGCACGTGCCAGTTTCTATCCGGATAAGAATTTTGCCCATTTCCGAGTGAAAGAAACGCGGAACGAAACCATTCTCGATCGCGGGACGCAAATCGCAAGTGCGAAGCGATCGTGAAAATTGTTTCGAATCGAATTGAAACCGTCCGCGGAGGTGCGTGTCTTTGTCTATCCGTTTGGCTGGTCGAGACTCGAACAGCGCGTTTTAAGGCCGTTTGCGACTCTGCGAGGACATCGCGAGACTATCGATTTCCCGCTCTCTCGACGCCTCGAAAGGAGGCGCGTGGAGTGGACGTGGTCTCCTCGAGGTCCGCTCCTCTGCGATCTTCCGTGTAGACTTCCGGTCGACGATCGTCTTCGGCCGATGACGGGGGCGGGGGGCGGAGGCGGGCGACGAATGACCATTTCGGGACGAGAGACCGAGAGATTCGATTGTGGATATTTCGAAGAACCCGGCATTTGTTCGTTCGTCGAACGACGCTTTCGAACGATCACCTCTAGACGTTGACAAAATTTTCGTATATCCTTTCGCTCAAATCCAGCAACCGAGGGATGCTTTTTGCGACTTACGGGGCAAGACTGCTATGATAGGTGCGAAAAATCGATTTTTATCATTCTCGTCTCGTAAAGTGCAATCCTTTGAGAACAGTTTCCATTTGATTCCATCGTGGAACCTTGACGAAATAACCGAGATACGATTCTTTTTCGACACACTTTAACGAATGCATATCAAAATGAATACGATTCGTTGCATCGGTAAGCGACGCAGTTAGGTCTAGAAACAAAAAAAAATATACAGTTTGCCAGGCCAAGCAGCAAACCGGGAAAGCTAATAGGAACTAGGATTCCTTTCGTATCTTTGTCGTTACCGAATTAATATGTACCTGTTCTGCAAATCATGGAGGCTCTTCTGGAAAAATGGAAGCAGACGCTATTACTGGTGTGTTTACACGCTCGGATAAACTTGGTGGTGTAAATTACGTAAATAATATCGGCGATGGTGATTCGAAAAGATTCAAGTGTGTCGTTAGCCAAGAATCGTACGAGGAGATTTTTAAATAAACGTAAAGGAATGCGGGAATATCGTTTCGAAACAAATAAGCTCAAAGTTAAGGAGTGTATAGAAAAAGGAAAGAACTTGACGGAAAATGGAAATTCATGGGTATTTCGAATGATCTTTGTACGAAAAATTTCCGGAAATAGTTTGCGAACGTCTATTCCAAGAACGAGCGGTTTGTAAAGTACTTCTGCTCGACCCCGCGATATCGACTGAATTGAAATGTACCCTCCCTGTCATCTCCCTCTGCGTTTTCGACGAACGTTTCGAATAATTTCCCGTGCCGGCTTTGAATAATCGTTTGGATATTCGGTTAAAACGATTATGTAAAGTTGTAAATTATTCCAAAGCTCGACCACCGCGTTAGAGGAGCAAAGAGCGTTCGACCCTTTAAGAGAGAAGCTCGAGAGAAACCATAGATTGAAAAATCTGGTCTTATTATTCACGGAAAATTTATCTACTCGATCAAAACTTCCCAAAACGTTAGAAACGTTCGATTCGTAACATCGATATCGCGAAGACTGTAAGAATACGTTAATCGGAGTACAAAAATCGGAGTCGGAAGAAATATTACGCAACACGAACTACGACGAATCGAGTCGGGATCCAAAGTCTTCCTTCAGATGTAAACACGTTTATCGACGTTTCGAATATTCCCGTTGTATTCGAAACGTTCTAAGACATCGTTTGACAAAGGAGAGTCGAAACTTTGTCCACCGAGGATTCATCGACGATTGAATGTTTCGATTCGCGTCCGAAGCTACCAGACGAAGCGTGATAAATTTCGAAACGATCGAACGTGAAATGAAAAAAGAACGAATCGGTGAGCAAAGGGTTGAGGAACGGCTCGAGGTTCTTTTTTTTCCCCGCGAAGAATCATCCCCTTTCCGATCGGTACCAGCCCGTACATACGCGAGTCACGTACGTAACAGTAGCAGACTGACATGTATGCCTCGTAACGGTAAGCCGGTTCCCACTGAGAACCCTGTTACCACGTCTACGCGATGGAAAAGAGGGTAGAAAGCGAGAGAGGGAGAGAAAGAGAGACTTTGCGTTGTAATACGTGTTCCGTGCGGTGTACGTAGACGTATATCGCATGCATGACGTGGAGGATGAGTCAGACCTGCTGGAAAGCAGTTTCAGGGAGAGAACTCATCGGGAAACTTTCCGGAAATATTTGTCCTTTTTCTCCTCTGTCTTCTACTCTTCCACTCTCTTTCCCTTTCCCTCTCTTTTTTATGAAAACTCCACGATAAACTTTGAATTTTCCGCGAAACAGTTTTCGCTATTCCTTTCTGGTTTTACAAACAGAGGGAGGGAATTGGGTGAACAATTTTTAGAATTCTTTTGTATTCTTTTTAGGGCGGTTTGTTAGGTGCGATGTTAACGTTAGAAAACGCTTCCGAGTTTTGTTCATCGCTTCGCTGGGAAAGATTAAGCCTACGGCCTAACAAATATACGTTTACTGACGCAAAACGTTCGCGCTATAAGCCACCGGTGCAGGATCGTATAGAATTTCTAACGTACATTGCATGCTAATGTCGGGTCAGTTCTGTAACGAAGTTAACAGCTTTTTCTTCTTGTCGAAACGCTCCTACCAAGGAGCACCTCGACGACTCGCAACGTTTGCTTTTACGTAAAACCCTTCCCTTTCCTTCCTACCCTTCCGACCGACGACGCGGCACATATGACGCTTATGTCGTTAAAAATGTTCCTAGACGCGACAACCTCCGCGAAAGTCACGACTATCGCGATACGAAGAAAACGATCGAGGAACGACCGGTGTCCGCGAAGATTCCTTTTCATCGTACGCGGACGGGTTCTTGCGAACGTTTACCGAGCCACACGAAGCGTCGTTCGAAGAGAGAGTAGGCTTACTGTAAAACATACCAGTGTCACCTTTCGTTTATCAACGACCTGACCGAAGTTTAATTCGAGACGAACAGGCTGCGCTCGACGACTACTTTAGCAATCGCGACACGATGCGTTCAAAAAAAATACGATCGATTCCCTTTCTTTTTTCCGTTTCTTACACGATAAAACGCTAATATTCTCGTTGGCGAAAACAAAAGAAAAATTATTTCTTTGCGTAAAAATAAACAATCCAGCGGAGTTTGGCGAAAAGGTCTAGGTGCGAACTCTGAAATTCTCTGCTTCGGTTCTTCGATCTTTTTTCCGTTCGAGAGAGAAGTAAAAAAGCTCTCCGACTCCGCCCTAATTCCCATCCCTTCATCTTCGTTTTCTCGTTTCATTGCAAATCGAAGCGACAATCGCGGAGAGGAACGTTTCAGAAACTACGGAACCTCTCGAACGTTGCGTCATCGTCTGGTAAAGGCGAGACTATCAGACAATCTACTCAGGACTTTCCCAGAGTTCCGAGAAGACGATTCAAGTTTTATTCCTACGAGGAGGTGGCGTCCCGTTGGATTTTATAATCCGTAGAAACGTGAAAGGGGAGCACGGGAGAGCCGAAGGTCACGATTTTCCTAGGTCGACGGTGTGGCGCAACAGCTGTTCCACGAAAGGTGTTCGTTGATGCGACATCTGCACCTTGATCCCCTCTTCGCCTCCAGCCATTCGGTACTATTTACCGAATAGCCTTTTCTCGACGATGGCGAGTCACAGAAACCAAACTTCCCTATGTCGAACGGATCTGGCACGTGTCTCGGATCGTCGAAAAAATTGATTTTCCCAGGGGGAGATCGATTATCGATCGTGCGAAACGGGACTGCCTCGGATCGAACGATTTCGAACGCTTTCGATCAACGTTTTAATCCTATCGACGAACGTAGGCAACAAATTCGCATCGTTCACGATTCTACGATGCCAAGTGTCGTTTTGTCTTACTTTTCCCGCAACGCCAAGGAAAATACTAGTTACCGCGGAGACGAGCCGATAGTATCGATACTCGCCACGGAAGTGGTTCGAAACGGAATCGGTGAAGCCGACAGGACGTCCCGTGGAAACAGGCGCCGATTGGCAATCCAAGACGCGCGGAATTCGTAACCCGTGCGTCAGCGTGCATGCGCGTGTGCGTGTGCGAATCGTGCAAACGCGACGCATGTAAGGTCTCCTCGACGCGGTGTCGCGTTTCGGCGCGTGCTGTGACAACCGGCTGGAAACCAACACCGGCTCGCCGCGTTCTCACGTCCATCGTGTTCCTCGAGCAAAAGTTTCCGGGGAAAATCAGGTTTCTTTCGAACGAGTCTCGACAACCCCTGAGCGATGGGTCGTCGTCGAGCGAATCGGCAAAGCTGGAATTAACCCTCGCGATACTAATTTCGAGAAGGACTGTACCATGATTATTCGAAGAATTTGTCAAAATTGACTTAAACGTTCGAAAAACTTAGAAATTCCTCGAAGGACGAGCCCCGGAGCTGCGACACCGCTTATTCCCTTAACTCGTGGCTGTCTCCGATTGTTATTAATAACAGCACTCGCGTCATGCGCAGAGGGGGCATTCTATACTTGGAAAAAAGGAATGTTGCCTCGAACAGGGGAGCTAGCACGTTGAAAATAATTGTCCTGTGACTACGGCCCGGAAACCGCGGCGGTCACCACGGTACGCGTCCTCGTGGTCGTTCTCTCGCATAAAAGCCCGCATCGATTGCTCTTTATCGTCCACGGCGAGAGGATCCGAGGAAACGCGCCTCGAGGAACGACGCACCGGCTCGAAGGAAACTTTCAACGTCAAAGGAAAACTTCAACTGTTGCGAGCGTTGCTCGCTACCGATGAATACGCTGGACAGAATTTTTAAACGCCTACGAACGTTCAAAGTCGATGTCGATTGTTAAAAAACAAACGTTCCCGTTAATATTTATGCAACCCTTTGGCTGATCGCGATCTGTTTTACTCGAAACTACCAACCTATCACCGGAAGCAACGAAATCGAGGTTACAAAAAAAGAGCAAAAACAAGCCCAAGATCCTTCTAGTTTGCGATGCAGATCACGTGGGACAGTGGGTAGGGGAATGAGGGGAGGGCAAGAAGGTGATCCTCAGGAAGCGCTGGAACTTTGCAAACACGAGGACGCGTCCTCGAAACGAGTCGCCGATTGCGAACGCAACCTCTTGAATTTTTTTGTAACGCGGATGGATGATGTGGGTACCACGAGGGGCCGTGACGTCATTCCAGACATCGTCCTCGTCCGTTACGCGCTTCTTCTTCTCCACTGTTCCCTTATTCCTCGCGTTTCGGGACTGCGGAAGACACCTTTCGCAGCCAGCTGTCGGTCGCATCTGTAATTTCTTTGATGCGACCTGAACGTGAAACGCGAGCCACGACGATTACAAATAGAGATAATCGAAAGAGGAAAAGCTTCAAGTTTCGTGATAAGGAATACTCTGCGAGATACGCGAGAGATAAATTTCACTAATGCTCGGTACCTGCGGAGCTCGACAAAAATTCAAAGGTTTAGTCGAACGGATCACAGGTTAATAAAAGATCTTATTTAACTTATTTTCACGAATCGTTGGATGACTTGTTCTATTTTCCCCGAACGCACTTGGACGAAATCAAACTAGAGACTGGCTTTATCCGACGGAAAAAGAGTCCCTCCGAGGTTACGGGTTGAACGGTAACGAGGTCATCGATGACGTTTCTGTGATCTGCGAGGAGACCGATGACGGTGGAGGAAGAATGAGGAAAAATTGCAAGAGAATTGAATGCACCCTCGCAATTTAAACGAATTAAACGTTCGGTATAAAGATTCGAGGAGCTCGTTTCTGTTGCTTCGCGTAAATGTTAATTCGACGAAATTTTCATTCTCTCGTTACCGAGCAGCGGTGAATTCGTCGCTCCACTTTCGAAGGTGAAGATACATTCGTCACCTATTCGATTATTTAACATTCAATCGTGTTTATTCGCGTCTTGAGCTTTCGTTTGAAAAAGTTTGAACGTGTCCTTCATCGAAAGTCTATCGCCTCCGCGAACAGACGTTTCTCTCTTTTCCATGTTTCATTCGTAAAAGACACCGTACAACGCGAACCGTGTTTTCTTTGGTCAGAGTTGCCGTTCGATCGATACGACTATTACTGTACACCGTGTGTCCATTATCGTGAACGTACAAACTCGAGATACAGCGCGACCGGAGTTAGCACCGCTTTCCCATCGATCTCGACTCTGAATCATTTACGAGCTGCCGTATGCAACGGTCGTTTCAGTCGAATGCATTCTTAGACCTCGCGTCGCGATGATTCCGTAAGCCTGAACGGAAAAGTTCCTTTTCCCGGAAAATTCACGTTCAAAGATTCGTCGACGAATGATTTCCGAAGGATTTTGGGAGAAACGAGATAATTTGAAATTTTGAAACGGCATCCGACGTCCGATGATTTGTTTCGTTTTATCCTTCCAACAAACTAAGGGCGGTTTTTGAATAAAAGTAGTCGCTGGAAGTTAAGCGACTCACCTGTGTTAGCCACGACGCTTTCGAACGTGTTTTAATGAGACGACACTTCGGAACGAGCGAGAAAGAAACGTGGGAAACAATAGCGGGACTCCAATCTGAAGGGCACTGGATCGAACCCTTCTTTTCGCAGCATTGTCTCCCTCGACGAACCCTTTTACCACTACCGTCACCTTTTCTTCGGTATCCCCCCTCCCCAGCCTTTCCGCGACCCTCGCGAGCATCCGAGGAGAGCGACGGAGAACGAGACAGCTCCGACTGGTTACAGAATAGTTACCACCCCTCCTCGACATTATCTTTACTCTTTTGCCAGCGTACAAAAGAAACGCCGGAGCTACCGACGGAGGGGGAAGTACCGGTGTTTGGTAGAAATGTTTGTTCTCCCTAAACGCGAGTTTGCTTTTCTTATTTCTACCCCCTTTCGACATCTGCCCAATCTTACCCGACCTTCTTACCGCGTGAATTTAAATCGTACGACGATAGAGACTCGAATGCCGATAATCAAAGCTTTTGGATTGAGAACAAAGTACGAAATCAAAGACGGACAGAAATTAAAGCTCCGTAGATGATCGAGAATACATAGGCTATCCTGCAAAGACAGAGAACATCTCGACCGTTGAAATACGAAAGAAGAAAACTCCAAGTCTATAGGTACGATCTTACGCAAAATCGAGTGTATTTTTTCGAAACGGTATCGCGAAGTTCGTCGCATGATCGAGTCCGTTGCAGTCCACGCAGCATGAGTCTGTGCGGCTGTCAGGCGCGAATTCGCGCAGGCCGGATAACATGTTCTCGGATGGACAGGGTAAAACCCTAAGCGGGAGGGGATGACGACAGCGTGGCGGCGGCATGGCGAACATGGCGTCGTCGAGGTCGCGTCTGCGCCTAGCCGCGAACACCGCGTGACCACGATCAATAAACTGTACGCGCTGTTGTGCCGGGGCAAAGGATGTTGAATTCGAAAAGTGTTATTCCGCGCGTCTATCTCTGAATGATATGGAAGGGAACGCCTCTCCACGTGGGTGCCACGTGTGCGCTTCCGCCCGCGTCTCTTACGCGCGTGCACGCGCTCGTCCGATTTCGTCGACCCTGCCCCAAAACAGAGGCCCTGCTACGTCGTTTTCGCACCGTCTTTCTCGGAATTTTCCTCGAGGATTTTCCTTTCCGACCGAACGGATTCCATCCTGGCACGACTTTGCTTTCGACGAGAACGTTGCTTTCCTCGAATCCGGAGGGACTCGATGCCAACGGAATCGGAGATGGCGCCAATTTTTTCAGCGATTTCAGGAGGAACTCGAGGATCTCGGTAATAGTCGCGAATCGCGTTACGGGGAGAGCAGAGTTCTCGACGACGCGCGGATATAACGTATAGCGATTAGCGTGTTTAATCGAAGAGTCGACAAACAGATCTAAGATGGCACGGAAAAGTTGGAGCAAAGAGCGACTTTGACGTGGAGCGATAGAATCCGAGGATAAGATCGCGGTTAGTAACGCGTTCGCGGTCCAAAACGATGGCATCGTAGATAAAAGCAAAGGAAAGACGCGAGAATCGTTTCGATGTCCGAATCGAGCGATCGACAACGATACGCCGTACGGCAACCGAAATCGAAGGTGATTATACGCGTGATGTATCAGTTAGCGAAGTAAAGTAAAGGTGAGAAGAGGAACGAGACGGTTATTATCGTGGGAGACACGATGGAGCACTAACCTGCTAGCCGCAAGGCCGACATTCTTTGAAACTCGGGCTCCTGTAGCCACTTCCACATCCGTCGAAAGGTCTCTCGGCCGCTCTTGAGCTTGGACCAGGGCTTCGGGTTGCGGAGCAGATCGCTGAGGGTACCCTGACTACGGCAGAGAACCCTCTGTGCGAATATCGCCTGCGGTATGCTGTATCTCTTCAACTCGGCGCTGATCCTCTGTGCCAGTTCTTTGGTGTTGATCTCCTCGACCTCGCCGGCTCCGTTCCCTGCCGACGACACCGTCTTCATCACGACCGAGGTGTGCTGCACGTGCTGCGTGTGCGCGATCGTTTGCTGCGGCATCGACTGTTGCTGCTGCTGCTGTTGTTGCTGTTGTTGTTGTTGCTGCTGCTGCTGTTGCTGTTGTTGCTGCAGCTGCGTCTGCATGGGAGGCGGCGATGCAGCCGGCACGGAATGCGTGGGCGGGGAATGATGCGAAGGCGCGAAACTGGCCGTCGCCGAAACAGCCGGCGGCGAGGAAGGACTAAGGGCCGCCGGACTCTGCTGCAACCTCGGCAAAAAGGCCGGATCGTAGTGAGGACTGGCGGACTTGTGCGGCGAATTGAGTCCGCTCTGACTGTAGGCGCTCTGCGGTGACAGAGGACTCGGCTGAAGGCCCGCGCCCGGCGAGGCGTAATTGTGCGGCGGCGACATGCCCATCGAGGGCAATTTGTCGTACGCGTACGGCGAGCTACCCATCCCGAGGCCGATGTTCCCGAGGCCGTTGTTTTGCATCACCGCGAAACTACCGGTAACGCCGCCAGCCGCGTGTGCACTGTATACAAACTTGTCGCTCATCGTCGAGATCGGCGGTAACGGCTGTAACGGCGTCAGGGTCGCGTAAGAGGAACCAGGACTGAAGCCGGGCGGCGACATCCTTTCCGCGACCGAGGTCAGCGTCTGATAGGTCGGCTCCGGCTGCATCGCCCTGAAGTCCGTCGCGTCGATCATACTCGCGACCGAGACGCTTATCCCCGACGTCGGCGTTAGCTTGCCCGGACTGAGGAGCTCCGAGTCGGCGTCACGCGAGTCCACGTCCACGTCCTGAGGTGGCACGATCACCGACAGGGACTCCCTCGCGTTCTGTCTACCACCACCACCTCCACCACCGCCGCCGCCACCACCGCCACCGCCACCGCCGTTTCCGTTGCCACCACCGGCGCCACCGACGGCACCTCCGCCGCTGCCGCCACTGCTGCTGCTGCTGCTGCTGCTGCTGCTCGTGCTGCTGCTACCACCGCCACCGCCGCCGCCACCACCACCACCACCACCACCGCCTCCGCCGCCGCCACCGCCGCCGCCACCACCGCTACTACCACCGCCGACGATACTGTTACTCGGTGGCTCCTGGGACGACGACAGATCCTCCGCGGCGGTGAGCTCTCGCTCCTCCTTGACGCCGAGCGCGCCAGCCGCCAGTAGTTCCAGCGGCAAGTTCGCGCACGCGATGTCGGGACTTTGCGAGGCGGAGGATGACATACCCTCTCCGTTACCACCACCACCACCACTGCCGTTTCCACTTCCACCGGGGTTTCTTCCACCCGCTCCGTCGACGCCGAGCTCGTGCTGTTGGTGCTGGTGGTGTTGTTGATGTTGATGTTGGTGTTGCTGCTGCTGTTGATGATGATGATGATGATGATGTTGAGGATGGTGGTGGTGATGATGATGAGTTTGATGCTGTTGCTGTTGAGAATGGTGATGGTGTTGTTGTTGTTGTTGTTGTTGTTGTTGTTGCTGCTGGTGATGGTGGGGTTGGTGGTGGTGGTGGTGATGATGGTGATGCCTACCCCCACCGACCACCGTTCCTCTACCACCGCTGTTGCTACCACCTCCTCCTCCTCCACCGCTTCCTCCTCCACCTGCACAGTTCCCATTCGAACCACCCCCACCGGTTCCCCGGCCATGCGTAGAAACCGCCGCCGGGGAATCGACCGAGTCCAGTAATTGCTCGCTATGCGATTGATGATCGGCTACGTCCCCTATACCTTCCATTTACGCACATCTAGTTCGGGTGGCCGCGCACTCGCTCTCCCGTGCTCGGACACACCGCGTGCACACACCGTTTCTTTGCTAGATCGCGCGCACTCCGTCCGCGACTCTTTTTTACCGTCGATATTCCTCTGCGACGGGCACCAGTCGCCGTTTGTTCTCTAGACTCGACGCACTATATTACGCGCGCACCGAACACGATACGCGTTTATCTCGCGAACACTATAACCTTTATCCCTTCCCACCTGGTTTCTGTCACTGTCGATTGTCGATCGTTTGGTCTCGTCACTGAGCGAACCAGTCGCGATGCGCGTCGCGCCGCAACCAGGGAAACAACAACAACGACGACGACGACGACGACGACGACGACGACGACCAAGACGAGAACGCGGAGAACCACCACCGTCTCCTCGTGTCCGGCAACCTCGAATGAATCAGAACACCGTGATCGCGACCGAGGACGTCTCTCGTGGACGAGGACACCGCCGGTTCCGGTGGTGCTACCGTTCCTGTCAACTCAGACGACGACGTTGTTGTCGCTATTGCTCCGCCACATCCAGCACGTCGGATCGGCATAGAGATCCGGTACCACAGCGGCGGCGACCACCGTGCGCCCATGACATACGCGGAGAGAGTGAGAACGCACACACCGCGCTCGAGTGAATACGTTGGTTCGTGTCGAGAGACAGGGAGAGAAAGAGAAACCACAGGCGGAAAAGAGTAAGAGCCGACGACCGGAGAGAAGGGGGACGTCTCTCTCGTTCTTCGTTCCTCTTCTTCGACCCTTCCGTTCCGTTTCACTCTGTCCCTTACCCCTCGGTCGACATGCCGCACGGCCCACTACCACCGACAACAACCACCTCACCACCACCACCAACACCAGGACCACCACCACCACCACCACCACTACTGCCACCGTCACCACCTGGTCCACCCTACCACCAACGTGCTCGTTCCTCGTTCGTACGCGACACCCTCCGACGCGTGCTACGCTCTAACTACGATTCCTCCGGGTCCAGGTGCGACTCGCGTTATCCTCCTTCCTTTCGCGGGTTCGTTTCACTCGCGCGTGTCTTTCCCCCTCTCGCACTCTTCGTTTTTTTCACTGTCTATGGTCGCGTCTTTCGTTAAAACCGACACCGCGACATCCCCCGTTTACCACGTCACCGCGGTTTTACCACCGGCAGCCGTACCTGCGCGATTCTTGGTCCTTTCCGAACAGCCGTCAACGATACGACGATCCACGTGAAATATTAACCCCTTTGCTCGAGAACGAGACCGACGCGTATATTCCGTCAAACCGATGCGAACTGAACGCGACCGCGTATCGTCGAGACGATTTCCGACTATCTCGATCGTCGTTCGTTTGTTCGTTGTCCCGTGTCGCCTCGTTCGCAGCCCAGACTCGTCGGGTCCGCGCGCGCGAATCTTCGCGTCCGGAGCCACCCCTCGTCGAGGAGTCTAAGTCACCAGCGAGGGCATTTTCGTCATCGTGTGTTGCGAGGGACCGCTACGTGCGCGCCGTCGACGCCGTCGCTACCACCACCACACACCCGTCACCGACGCCTCCACCACTCTGGCGTCAGTACAGCCTTCTATCGATTTTCCGATACCTCGTGACCAACGTTGCTCGATGCGCCAATACTTCGAGCATAAACATCGACTCCTATCCTATCCAGCGCTCCAACGGAGACCTATCCTCGACCGACGACCACCATGCGCGAGCCTACGCGACCGATTTCTTGGCTCGATCCGATTATCGAGTGTTCTTCTTTCGATCTTGGTTAAACGTGTTGCGTTGCGACCAACTTCTCGTCGAGATACTCTCAGCTATCGTTTCCTTGCTTTCTTTTTTTATCTCGCTTTTTTACCAGCTCCGTCTAGTTTTCTTCTCGAAACGAACCCTCGCAGAATCTTTCTCGATTTTTCCATCTCTGTTTTAACGAGCTTCGTCGAGTTTCACACCTACCGTGTCTCGAAACAAGCTGTTTTCTGGATTTCGGTGGAACGGTACTCCAGTTACGTGCCACGACCGCGAAACGGTTTCCAGAAGATTCCCAGGCCGCGCGCGGTCGGCGCTACGAGCCGAATTCGGAGGATCAATACGCAATCGAAGGTGGTACGCGAGAAGTACTCTCGCAGCGCGGAATCGATCAGCGTTCCTCCACGTGTCCCGAAGCGTTTGCGAGGCGAGACGCGCTCGAGCCTCCGGTTCGACGCAATTCCACGATCGAAACGCGCATCCCCGTCCGCATGGGGAGCGTAGAGGAGGGAGAGGCGGGGAGGGGCCAGTTCCAAGATGTCCTCCCGGGGATCTTCCCCAATCGAGTAGCTCGAACCCCTGCGCGATCGAGTCGAGGCGATGGGTCGAAGCGGCGTCAATCGACGGGGGTCGCCAGGGTAGGCGTCGATAGCGTAATCAATGGGGAACGACGACTGGAACGGAGCTCTCGGGCGTCGACGCGCGTCGCCGATCGATCTCGCGGGTCGAGACTAGGCTGGTCGATTCTCCCCGTTCACTGACTGCACGAATAATCGATTCTATCGCGATTCTAACACGATTCCACCACGCGAAACGCGGAGGCGATCCTCTTCGACTCGCGATCCCCGGCTCGTTGGATGCTCGTGCGCATTCACGCGCACGCGTGCGCGCACCCTTAGAGACTTTGTCCCTCTCTCTCTTCGCGGATTGCCACCCTTTCTCTCCTCGAGCGGACAGCACCCCGCGGAGAAGCTGCGAACGTCGTATTTAGGAACCGACTTTCCAAACGATTCTCGCGTTTCGATTATTTTTCTAGTCGCGTTGGTTTCGCATCTTTCCGAATCGCGCGTTCTACCATCTCTCGAGTAACAAAAAGAGCGAGAGAGTCAGCCGCGAGCTCGCGCGCTCCCACAGACGTTCGAGCGACGAAGACGAAGCGACCGCGAAGTTGCGCAAATCGCGAACGCGACTATTGCGTGCTTCGCGAGTACCTAGGTGCCTCGTTCTTCGTGGCTGCTCCTGGGGCCAGCGGGGAAAGGACGGGGCTCGGAGTAGGGAATTCAGAGGGTTGGAGATCTTGCCACGGGGATCTGTAACCAACTCGATACGCAGGGGTCGCATGGAAAGGGCCACGCGGGGCGGAGGAGGCTGGACGCGCGGAAAGCAACGAGGGGTGGCTCAGGACCTACCCGTCCACTTTTGGTACCCTGCTCGAAGAAATTCTCAAGGAAACTTACTTAAATACGTTGGTTTCACGTGTTACCTCGAATCAATTTTTGATCATCTCTGTTCTCGGCACAGCGAATCGTACGCGTGCCCGAATCGACGAATTCAACGATCGCGATCGCGTCTCGCGCAGGTGCGACGAACCTGGAATAGGTGAATTAATTGATCGTTTTCTTCGTACGCGCTATCCACGTTTCTTTCTTCTCTTTTCGATTTCATGCTCGGTAATTTCTCCTTTCTATTTTATTTTATTTCTTTTCTCTCTTGCGTATGCACGAGGTGTAATTGTCTGTAACAGCGAATAAAGAAATAGTTTTAGATAAGAGAAGAACCACGCGACGTTCCCTGGACGGAATCCATTGGTGCTCGCAAGGAAATAAAATCGATATCGGGTGTATACACCGGCCGGCGAAGGCGAGCAAGAAGAAATAAAAACGCGTCGCGCCCCGACGAACCGACAGAGACAAAACCCCTGCATTTCGCGAATCTCTACTCGATTCCCCTCGAAACAGACAGACGATTTTTAGAAAAAAACAATTTTCTTTTTTTGTTTAAACGCATGCTATAAAAATGATAAAACCTTGTTCGATAATCGTCGGAAGCGCGTGCTAAATACGAGGATGATCCAGCTTATACTTTTTCTTTGAAAAAGTCCGAAAGATGACCTATTTTTTCGGGGCGCTAAAGCAAAAAGACCTCTTAACCCGGAGTAACTATACTAACGCATACCTACCTCGTACTAAAATGTTTTTAAACGATCACGGCAGTCAGCGTAGAATAAATTTACGTCGTCCGCGTAGTCTCAATCCTAACTTAATCTAAAGCAAACCACGTTTAATCTGGATCAAATGCAGATCTGCTGCAGGTTTAACGTATAGTTAGCGCGATCCGAATTATGTCAAATCGAATACGATAGACTCTCGTCGAAAAGATCGACCAACTCTCGAGATTGTAAAAAGATAATTTGCGTAGACAATTTGAAGTATATCCGAGAGAATTAATCCAGCTAATCGCGATCCATAATCTAGCTCGAACTCAGGCCGGCTTTGCGTCTAATCCAAACGTATTTCATCCCTGACGCGACTCGAATCGTCGCCATCAGGGCACAACGATCGTCTTTCATCCGGAAGGTCGATCGATTCCAAGCTTGGATCGCTCGATCGATTTCCTTTCGCTTAGCAAATTTCTGATGGAAAAGAAAGAAATTTGGATGGTGGCGGAAGTCGTCGATGGCAGCGAGGAACATCGAAATTGAGGTCTATTCGAGGGGAAGGGCATCGCGACGCCCGATTTCGACGATCCTGAGGTTAGTTCGTGGATGACGAGAGTGGGGAGGCCACGGAGGGGTGTGCGAGCGATGTAACGTCGATATCGCGTTCTATACCGGGCGTCGCGACGCCGAGTGGGGCGAACAGGGAATAGGGGAAAGTTCCACATGGGTAAAATAATCGATAGCGCGACCGATATGTATGTACCGAGGGCGTACATAGCGGAGCACGAACACCGAGAAACCTCTATGTACGAAGCGTGTGTGGTTACACGCGAACGGGCCAAGCCGGAGAGCCCGCGGTGACCGAGAGGGTGAAGAGGAGGAGCGGTCAGTCCGAGCACGTAAACGCGTGTTGCCATAAACACGGAAACGAGGAACCACCAGCACAGGAGGGTGAACGCGGACTTGGAGTTTGCGTCTCGCTAGAAACAGAGACGAGAGATCATTTGCGCGGACTTTGCGTAATAATCGTAACAAAGTTGAAGTTGGCGTAAACGTGGTATTTACTCGTACGAGAAAAGAAACGGAGTAGCTTCAACGAAAATAAAGGGCGAGCGTTCACGTGTAATTTATACGTACGGTTTCAAAGAGAACGAATAAAAACTTTAATATATCACGCAAATAACGATAGATAGGACAGTTCGTATAACTAATGGAGAAGCACCCTGGAAGGGACACGAGATTAGGAACGTGGGCGAAGGCTCGTATACATATATTCCCACCGAACGGGGGGTGACTAATAATAACCAGCTAGACGCTGATTTTCCGCGCAAATACGAAAGGAGGAAACGGAGCGGCGGAGAAAACGAAGGGTGGCAAAGTAAAGGGAACAGGTGAAAGTAAAATCCATCTACCGAGAACCCGTTAAGAAATAGAAGGGAAATTAAACGACGATCCACTTTCGAAACTAATACGACTCACGCGAAGAGAAAAAGAAACCCCGATTCGGAATGGTGGGAAGGAATCGACAAAACGTGTGAAAACAACAAGCCCAAAATAAGAGAGGATAGAGCGCAAAAGAGAGAGTCAAGTTCGGTCGAGGTGGATACAAGGAAAGACAAAAATTGATACAGAGTTACAAAGACGTTAGGACAACTTTGACGCGCCTGCGTGAAACCCTGCACGTATATGTAACTACATATATGTATATGTCTGTTGAAAGTGAAACAGAGAGGGATGTCGACGCATACCGACGAGGCATGTGTAACCGCAAGTATATGAAACGAGGGGAGAGACGGAAGGGCTGAGTACGCAGAGAGCGAGAGAGAAGCGCCAAGAACGCGCGCGTAGGTGTTGCCATCCACGAGGAAGCGAGATGAGAACAGGGAAACCATATGCACCTACGCGAAATGTGTAAATGGCCGCAAACAGGGTGAGAGAGATACCGAACCGGAGGGAGTGCGAACGGGGTGGACACGCGCCAGTACGTTTAGATACACGTACACGAGCCATTATAGGCATCGGTCGGTGGTCATCGCGCGCGTTGCCGCGCCGTATCGCATCGACCGCCATTGAAAATATTCTCCGAAACTGTGCCGCAAACCTCGAGCAATCGCCACCGCGGGAAAACGAGCGATCGTTGAGATCTCAAAGGCCCACGCGAGGGAGATCGCGTGCAGACGATTTTTCCTTTTGCTTTTCGCCAAAAACTATATACTATTCTCTTCTAAAATGATCTACGTCATCCAGTTTCCAAGATTTTTCTGCATTCTTCGGGATCGAATATTCAGGGACACGGAATAGCGTGACGTCATCTAGGTTTGAATGGCGTCCCGCTAACCGAAGCCCCGGCGTCATTCATGAACGAATAACGCGTCGGTCGATGCGTCGAGACATTTTTCCCGGCTCTGCGTTCATTCGATAATTTCTTCCACTTGCGAAGAGAGAGAACGATGGAACGATCGACGGAATCCCCGGTGCAATTCCTCCGGCATCGATCCTATTCGACTGCGCGGGGATTTTAATTTCGCGCGGGTAAAAAGACCGTCGCGAAACAGACGGAGAATTTTTATGAATTAACGAGATTTTGTTGCGTCCACCCTGCTTCTCCTCCCCCCGGCATGCATCGCGTGGAATGTAATTAGGTTGAGACAGGAAGCCCTCTGGCCTCCTTCGATGAGCCATCCCCCGAGAGGAACGATCTCCACTGTCTCCAGACATTTTCGAGTGGCCGTCGAGTCCATCGCAGAGTCGCCATTTACGCCGGTCGTTTTCAGCTTCCCTCTTCCTCGTTGGATCGTTGAACAATTCAATTTCGATACTCAACCGGTCCGAGTTCTCGCGGTTGAGTTGACTAATATTTAACCACGAACGATTCGGAATAAAAGAAACGTAAATTGCGCTTTCTATTGCGGTAAAAACCTACGCTCTTCCGACATTTAATGCCTAGTACTCGAGTAATGAACGGAGCCTCGGACAGACATGAAACGTTCTCGTAATACCCGGGGAGGGGGTTGGACGAGTGGAGCACGACGAGGTTAATCGCGGGAATGGTGGATAGTGAAAAGGAAACGGTACGGCACGGGCCCCTCGTGCAGATGTCCGGTGAAGTCGCACCTGGCGGCAGGTGGTCCCTGCCGCGGGGGTTCCCCTCCACGGACTGGTGATCCACGCGTGTGCGCGCGATCATATGTTACCTGGCGCGTGCACGACCGTCCTGATCGAGAAAATCGATCAACCGCTCCAGAGGATCGGAACGTTTCGGTGTTGTCGTGGAGAGAGACCATGGTAAGGCGCGGGAGATCGCGAATTCTCCTGGTGACGTTATCGTTTCCAACTTTCGAGTTTGATCGACGAACGTGGGTTTTACAATACGTACGATAAACGTTAACATTTATGCGTAAACATGTAATTCGTGTAACACACGAGAGACGCTAGAACTCGTAAAACACAATTTGCTAACGATACATGCAAGACATTACATTCGAGTTGTATCGATCTTCTTCCTTCAATCGTATTCCGCGCCGATGGTGATGCTCATCTCCTCTGAAACGATCTCCGTTTGGTGATACCAGCGATTGGTGTCCAGAACGACTGTTCGATTGGACAAAAATTCGATCGATAGATGGAGAAACTGGATTACGCGACATGTAATCGATAGACTTTCAATAATAACGTTGCAAGATATGCTTACTTATTTCACCGGGACGCACCACAATCTCCAGCTTATCGCAAATGTAATGGCATTCTCGCGGCGGCTCCAAGATCCACAATTTCTCGCCCTTTATCTGCGCCTGCCACGACGGATGCTCCACGTCGTCCACCTGGAAACGTTCATTTCAGCGACTTTTTCGAAACGATCAGAAAGAAAGAGGACTCACATGCATGGGAGCTCCGTAGCCATGGCTTCCCATGAAAATCCAGTCGGTCTTCTCGCTCTCCGCAGTCGGGGGCAGGAAATAGGGTCTTCGGTAATGTTGTCTGAGCACGTTGCCGGCTTTCTCGTCACAGTTGCTCCTTCAAGAATTAAATCTGTCGTCAGTTTTCCAATTTTTAATCGCACGAGTAGTTAAACTTGGAGAGTTTATCGTAGAGGCTGGATCAAGGTTCCCGTGCCGATTTTAATGAAAGGAGAAATCAGAAATGTGGAACGAAGGCAATATACCTACGTTGATTGGCTCGGATGCGGGTTTCTAGGTAATTGTCTCGTACGATGAATATAGACTGATACAGAGTGCGCGTTTAAGCTCGTTAGCAGGATTGTGCGCATACGTGCGAGCTTTAATACCGTAATCGAAGCCCTGAAACTGTGCTGTTCACGGGCACCGTTCAACTTCCGGAATTTTCTTTGAGGATAGCGATGTATTATTTTATATTAACAAGTTGTTCGCTCTTACCAGCCCACGTACCACGGCTTCGTTCCATTTTCGAGCAAAGACCGATTGGCGTCCATGTCGAAAACATCTTGAAGACTCTTGAATTCAGTTTTGTACGGAAAAAACTGACAATTTGCGTCCTCACCGTCGTACAACGACTTGAAGAACGAGAAGGAAAACACCTTCGGAGCTGTCCAGTTTGTCATTGCGTCGGTGATCACTACTGGTCTCCCAGAGTACGCGTAACTAATTTCCGACAGAAATAAACAAATACAAATATTCGTATGATTAGCACAGCGTTAAAAAAAAAGAATAAAGGCACGAATAAATATACAGTTTCGGTGCGAAAGCAAGGTAGAGTTGAACAAGATTCTTAACGCGTCCTAGATAGATGTTGACAAAGTACTAACGAACTCCTTGACCTTTTTGTTTCCATTACAGTCGTACGGCTACATATTTAAGATTACATTCGATCTTTTAAATTCGAAACGAAAATCGAGTAAAAACGACGCGCGAAATTGCTGGTACATATCCGGAAATACGGTAGTCGAGCCATTGGACAAATTGGACGAGCGGTACCGTTCTTCGAAATTCCCAGGAACCACGTTCGATATCCTGTCAACCTGTTGAACGTCCCGACAGATCGAGCAGTCCTCCGCCGGTCGGAAAATTTTCTGCGTGAACAAGGGTAGCTCCGCCAGACACTTGAACGATATTTCACTGTTGATAATATCGATTCTAACACTCGAAAAAACAGCGGGAAATGTTTTCCGTTGCTTCGATCGTAAAAAGATAATGAAACTTGTAAACTGTTTAAATTTTTCCACCTGTTTCTACGATCAAAGTAACGGGACAAACAACTAAAATGAAAGTGAGAATGAAATTGAAAATTACGTTCGATAAGCGGCTTGAAATAAGATCGTAGCTCAATGATCGATGCTCACCTTGTTGTAACGAGCAGCGCTCGCGTAATTCCACAAAAATTGGCCCAGAATCCAGGCGAGGATCAACAAGATCCACAGGTGTCTCCTGCGGACTTTCGATCCACTTGGCCTAAGCAAGGACTGCGCGTGGAACAGTTTCAAAGTCCTACTCGTAAGTCCCTTCTCTTCGATTTTGGCCACTATCGTACGCATTTCCTTTTTCGCGAATTCCAAGGACTTTCTGGAGGACTCGGCGGACATTTTATTGCTGTTTACGTCCGTCATGGGGTATACGTGCTTATGAATTTCTGTTCTCGCTGAGGTAATATTCCAAGTAATATATATATATATATACTTGTATCTTTTGCTGAAGATAAATTTGCAATTTGTGACTCTCTTTAAGAATTCGAGAGACTCGTATCGTTTTGCCAATTTACCGCTTAAACCGCGACGGTGCCCTGTGACTTTTAAGACTACCACTGGGTTTGCTGGTCGACGATAAACTGCGGGAGGATCCTTCGCGGGGACCAAGAGAACCAAAGGACTCTGTTGCGCGTGGGGATGGTGTGGCTCGTTCACGGGGGTGTGAAACGAACAAGAATCTAGGTTGCCGATTGATCCGAATAAAATTTGTTCCGACGTTTTGGCGATTGAAACCGTATCTGTTCAAATGTCGAATAAATTTTAACGGAAAGCTTCGATGCGTTGTGCAAAAATATCCGAAAAGATAGAGGTTTTTATTTAAATAGCGATTGAACGATTTCTATGATTTCTACTTTAGGTATCGCTTAGGTTTAATTTCTCGAATCGTTACTTTCAGCGATGAACGATCAATGTTTTTGTTTGTAGCGAGTTTTAATTTCACGAGATCACTGATTGAAAGAAGCAACGACATTGAACTGGCGCTCGAGTGGATCCCGCTCGGCGTGAATATGTGTTGGTGGTTTCTTATCGCGCGGTGTGCAGGTGCCGGTGCTCGCTGAGGCATGAGGATTTTCTTGTTAAAATACAATCATCGAACCCCAGCCTTTATCGCGTGTTCCCATTTCTTTAACGCGTTTCCTTCCCGCGTTGAATCGAATCGATCTCCCATCATTTTTCAGCGAGCATTGTAATTTATATGAAAAAAAAAAAAACAGATAAATATCGTTGGCAACATTTTTTTCGTATTTATTCGTTTACGCAAAATATTGGCTACGCGCGCGCAAGACAATCGCCAGAGCAATTGTTGAAAAGAGAGGGGTTGCTCGTTTCGATTCGCCGACCAGAAGGGGCCCGATTCTCCTTTTACGACTGCAAATTGTCAATCCGCGCTGCAATCCGCCTTTTAATTAACAATTATTCCGCGTAGAGTCGTCGTCGATCAAATTTCTACACGGTTTTTCAATCGACAAACGTATTTTCAAGCTTCTCGGTTATTCGCAACGTATAACAATATTCTCCAGATAAAAGCAATGTTTTGAGTGTAAGCACTTTTTAAGTTTAAAAAAATGTAATAATCGTAAATACCTTTAGAGTTTCAGGAAATCGATGCTTTCTCTTCTTTTTGTCCAGGATACAAAAGTGTTGAAAAGTAAGAGAAGAAAAACTAGCCGTTATGTTCAGCGCAATTAAATTCTTTAATTGTTGTCAGTCGGGTTCGAAATACACTAGTCGATCTTTATCGTTAATAATCATTGCATATACGTGGTACTCCTTCGATATAAATAATACGACGTCGATAAAATAATGACAATATGTTTGCTCTTCGTCCCCCGTCTTAACAAAATTATATATATATATATATATTATCCTACATCATTTTAGTAATTGCGACGTCAATAGATTGCGTAAAACACGGTACGAGTTAAATAAACAAACGACGATGACGATGATAAACGATCGTGACGATGAGAATCCCCGTCGCATTTCTCTCAAGGGTAGGGATCTAGGGGAGTCCTTCGATAAATTATCGAAAAATATATGAATACATATTTACTTGTAAAGATATTCTTAAAAGCTCGAACAAAACTTTTCGAGTTCAAGATTGCGATTAAAATCGAATAAATGATTGCAACGTCGCCCTCGAAGAAAATCGTTCGAGATTACCGTGGAAAAGTACAAAAATTTGTTTCCCCAAAAGACGGGAAAAGCGAAACCATTTGGTAAGATAGCGCCACCGCCGAGAGTGCCCAGATTCCTCGAATATCTGAATCGTTGCAAAATTAATCTAAACAGAGATCGTAGAACCCGCGAGAATGCGAAATCTACTTTTTGGGGAAGAAAAGGACAACGCATCGAACAGATTCAAGGATTCTCAGGCGAATTTAATTCCTGTAAATCCTCCCCTTGTCCCTCCCTCACGTCGGACTACAACGTTTTATAATTAATACTAAATGTGTGGTGAGACTCCTCTAATACATCTAAAATGCACATCCATGCTTATTTAATGCTCCTTTAATTTAAATACGTATGCAGCACTGTAGCCTATCGTTTCTTTTCTATTCATTATGCACGTGTCTGTATGTGTATGTATGTATGTGTATACGTGTATGTATATCTGTACGTGATACGTGAAACTTTCTTGACTTTACATGGTTTCTCTTTGTTTTTCTCTATTTCCTTCCTCGTTTCCTCGTGTTCGTCTGACACGACCCGTCGATTTCTTCTTCTTCTTCGATGAAATTTGGCAAATCTGCCTCGAGATGAGGATTCATTTTTAGGAGCGTGGTACTTTGCGGGTTGCCGTTACCTCTTTTGCTATCTTGCTCAGTTTTGTGTTTTTCTGGTCCTCTTCCGCTCGACGATTCCGTTTCGTTTCGCTCTTGGAGTTCGGATGATGGACTGTTCCGGTAGAGTCATTCGGCTTTAACGCTATATCAGTCTTCTTGGATTTGTCTGTGACGATGATCGATTTGACGATGAAGAGTGAGCCCGGAATATCCGATCGGATGTGCGGGAATTAAATTCGACGACACGCGTCAGTCTTTGCATACCGATCGGTTTGCACGTTCAAATAAGCCTACGTAAGGATCTCCCGTGAATTAAATTTGAAGATAAAGTACCTAAAATCAAGGATCGAACCGTCGACTTTGCAATCTAATAATGCTTTTCTCGTTACTTTAGAAAACTATAAAATGTTGTTATCGATAGAAGTAGAAATGGTCGCGCGAAACTATCTAGTTTCCTTCTCGCACCCTGTTCGCGAATGATCACGATCGCCGTCGATCGTTGTTCGCCGCTCGTAAACGGGATACGACTCCTTAGGCCAGTGAGAAACGTGTAAAAAAACGGTGTAAAAATCGCTAGTAAGACGCGACGCCGTTCCAAAAAGATTAACCGACGCGACGTCTGCATCCTTTCAGGAGAATCGTAGGCTGAGTTGCGCGACGAGAGTTCGATTATCGAACCAGCGGCTGTTTCATAGTCTCTGGTTTCATCTCTGCGTAGCAAGGATTTTTTTATGAATGTATTGCAAATTTTCACCGAACAAAAAATCATGTAATTTCACCTTCAATATTTAGTCGATGATAGACGTATCGAAGAAACGATAAAAAAAAAAAGTGACGAATAGACTTTGGTTATGAATGGTTTTCGGTAGCATTTCATCGAATCGATGTCAGTTACAAAACTGGAAATAATCTGAGATTAGAAAACCCGTAGAAAAGGATGGAAAAATTCTATTGTTTTCAAACCTAGCCTACACCAACATTTATAGAAACTCTTAATTGCAAAAATGTTAATTGTACGGGATTAGGAAAAGTTAGAAAATAATACAAAAAACTTGGTCGTTTACTCTACCCCGAATTCCTAAAAGATTCGTTTTAAAAGAATATTAGGAACTATGACATAGAATCCTCGATGATTAACATCAAAATCCGCGGAAGGAGACACCTTAAATAAACGCGCTAATCTAAATGGAATCAAATTTCGTTCTCGCTGATAAGCCTTCAATCGTCCTACACCCTTTTCGAATACGTTTAATTCGTTTCTACGAAGCCCTTCACTCGACAACGCGGTTTTACAAAATCATTCGTCGCGTCCTCGTCTCTCGTTTCTCGTTGAACTTCGTAGAAAATTAGAAACGTCGGTACGCGCAAACGATAAAAAGCGGGTATAAAAATCTCGGTTCGTTCGTGTCGATCGTGGCGACTCCGTCGATCCGGAGATCTCGGAGCCGTGCGTGTCACGTTGAGCGGAATGGTCCAAAGTTCTCTAAGAGGTTCGCGTCGCGCATGGCACTCTATTATCACGCTATATCACGAGCGCAAGGGATCAGCTAGCAGTCCATACGGTAAGCTCGTAGGGTGCCTCTCGATTCGCGTAGAGGCGTAAAATGGTGGCCCGTTATCGGCTCACTGAATGATATCTAGATAACGCACAGTTGCTTCTGCTGAAAATCTTATCCTAGCTGGAGAGCAACGGTATACGACAACGTACCGTATCCTCCTACAGAGACACGGTATCGATTATAATTGATTATTTGTTTTCTCGATGCTGACAACAAACATTTGCAGCAGCTCGCACACGTTCACGCTCATGAACGCTCGTCGAGCGGTACTTTCTCTTGCAACGGTGAGCATCTGCACGATCAGGCGATACGAAGCAGTCGTATCGACGATTCGCGATAAATCTTGCGATACTGGACCCTGTACTCGAAAGGGTAAACACCGTATCGGTATAAGTCAGCTTTTTCTTCGTTCCTAGAAATCTTTTCGTTTAACGAACTTGCACGTATAGATTGCATCTATGCGCGCAACTCGATATTTAACAAAATTTGACTTGTTATCGCAGCGTCAATAACAATGTTACGACAGACTTTGTTTTTTGTAAGTCGTAATATACAACAGAAACGATCGTACGAGTCTTTCGGGAAGGTTCGATAGATGACCGATACCCGAGATAAAGTAACGGTAATAACTTTTTCGACAGGCACGTCGATGATCGTTACAACTTCCATTTTGTTTATCTTATCTTGTCGAATCTGCGTCGATCTCGTCGCTCGTATGACAAATAAAATGTTGAATTCGATCGTCTCGAGGATGCGTATATACAAAATGTTCGTGTAAAACCAGTCGACGAGATCGATCCCTCTTCGATCGCGACGTGCATATAATTATTCATATATATAAAATTCTCAATTTTGTAAGAAGAAACGCAGGTGTGGTATCTCAGCGCGTTTCGGTCCACGATTGGTGTTTATACTTTCTCCCGGCTAAATCATTCGCAAACACACTCGATTCAACTGTCGTAATCATATTATTTAAGAAATAGAACAAGGATATATTCATTTGTATATATATATATATATATTTTTTATATAATATATGTATATATATAATATGTATATCGGCTATCAATAATGTCGTTTCTGTCAAACATTCGATAACACTTAAACATCACTTACTTCGTTATTCTGTCTCCTTGTCTGTAGATTTTATCGCGTCGCGTTCTCAGCCTTCGCGTTTCCACTTTTCTGATAATACTTTGGAAAACGAAGAGGAACACAACGGTGAGAATCTCGGAAATCTTTGATTCCTCTTTTCCGTCTTTGATCGCATTCGCTCGAGAACGGCTGACTTTAAAAGTGACGAACTCGCTCGTAGACGAGGGTATTTTTCTCGTATCCCACAATGTCACGAAAGGACAGAATTTTTTTCGTGCGGGCAGACAAGAAACACACTCACACGGATCGGACTAAAACACGCGCACACGCATATACGGTACGTATATTTCTTTCATTCTCCTCGACCGACTGGAAATCAGAAAATGAAAATAAAATAAAACGTAGCTTGCAAATATTTCGGCATTCTCGCATATGCCACACCCACAGCCTCGGAAGTTTACATAATACAGTAACGCAGCAATCGGTATGCCTACGCGTGCGTTATACAATGTATATGTGTCGTGTAATATGTATATATATATACGCACTTATACCCTCCTGTATTTATAATGGCATAGAGTGCCCTCATTTGTATATTTTAATAATAATAATAATAATAATCAAAATAATAGTAATAATAATAATAATAATAATACCATCTACTTATCATTAATAGTACTTTATACGGTTACTGATACCACCGCCTCGAGTACCGTCTTAAAATATACATTTAAATGTATACATATATAATTTAGAATTGTGCAACAAAGGTTTAGAGCCATTAGTGCGACTACTGCTGCGGATGTGGTTGGACAAGTCGGTTGCACCTTCTATACGCGAAGAAATGTGACCGGGGATGCGGAGTGCAACTTCTACACGTAATGCTTGCGAGTTTTTCCAGTTAATAGTCCTGGAAAGTCGACGAGCGCGTACGATTCAGAGGCTTCGAGTTTCGTCTAACATCTGTATACCCTTTTCAGTCTTCCTTTTCCCTCTGTTGAACGGCTCCGTATGTCCATACGTTCGATCCTAACTTATGCATATACTCTTCCAACAACGTGGACCGTTCGGCCGCAACGTACAGAAAAGGAACAAAACGAAGAAAAAGACTCCCCGTGTTCGGGCACGGTACCTCTGTTCGCGAAGAGAGCGATAAACTATCTATTGGACAGCTCGTACTCCGCCATCTGTTCCTTTTCGCGCGACATCGAGCAGTCGTATACGGCGTATACGAGATCTTCTGGTAGCAACTCTAGGCGTAGAGCCTCGGGGGAAGGCTAACTCGAGCACCCTGGGCTCCAGGCCGAAGCACCAGACCCTGTTATACCCAAGAGTCCCCGGCGGAGGCCGCGGTTGAATTCGGTGGCACGTTCACCGTCGCCGTGGCGGCAGAACCGTCCGGAACGCCGACACCGTCGATCGCCCACTGACCGCCGGTCGGCGCACCGCCGACTCCTGGCCCGATTGGACCCTGACCCTGACCCTGGCCCACCCCCAGCTCATACTGCCGCTTCTTTTTCTTCTCCAAGTTAACTTGCGCGTAGAGCGGCTCACCGGGTTTCGGTTGCTGCAACACACACAAGCCAACGGTTAGTTAGAGCCCTGGACACGTGGGGGGTGGGCTGTGTACCGTAGGGTGCAGGGGATAGGGCCCGGCGTTTTGTCATTCTTTTCGAATTGGATTTAATTCCCGTCGCAGTGCGCGCGGATAGCGTTTCCCAATCTTCACCAAAGTTTTTCAGTGCGCGACAACTGGTATATCGGGAATTGATCGGATCCGAATCTAGCTGATTAGTTGAGTAAGACTCAGCTAGGTTTCTTCTATCGTTTAAGGAATTAAGGTTGTACAGCTGCGTTTCATTCTCAAGGATAAACAACGCAAGATCAAACATCACAGTTTAGTTGGATTAGACACAGATTGGGAAAGGCCTAGCTCATAGTTTACATTTATGGAATTCGTTTCGTTCGAAATTTGAAACGCTCCCTTTCTTAAGGAATGTGGAGAACTGACTGAAAACGGAGATCGGTTAAAGACAATTGGAAGAGACGTGTACAACATTGAAACGGAGGCATTCGTTGCAAGAAGAACGAACAATCGTGTAATAGGTACTGTCAGATACTCTTTTATTATGCTCGATTAATTTGGATATAAATAGATTATAAATAAGTTCGTGCAATAGTCAACGTGTCGTTATAAATCATGCTTCGTGGTGCGTCTAGGTTTGATGTCGTACAATAAAGGTCGCTTAACGAGAGTGTATAAAAAAAAAAAGACTTATATCGAAAACAACTGTTCTCGACGTTAGCAGTTCTTCTTAGCGTATCGTTCCTGTTGCTTTCGCTTTGCGATTGTACAAACGAACATCGGACACGGTTTAAACGATTTCAAAATTACGTTTGCCAAAGAACCTGCCACGTTATGTCGATCTATAGAGAGATGACTTGTTGTGCTTATAAATTACCCTGCTTATTTAAACTCATACAATTATATATGAATCGGAATCGAATACGCTATAGATTACGCTTCACTCGTTACTTTAACGTTATCCTTACTGTACTTCGTAGACTATGATCACTTAGGTAACGAATCGAAATTAAGTCCTCTAACTCTCTATATCCTCCAAGAAACATTCTTACGATGGAATTTTGCCAAACAAGTGAATACACCATTGCTACTCCTACGTTAATTGTATTAATTACCGTCTATTAGGCAGCAAACATCAGCCTTTTTGCGAAAAGTTTGTGCGCTTCTTCCAACTAAAAATCTACGTGCCATTTTGTTACATGTTCTCTGACTGAATTTGAAAAAAAAAAGAAACAGAATGCCTGTAATGGAAATGGATTGCGGCGTTGGATAGTTTACAAATAGGTAACCAAACGCGTCGAGGAGATAAGTTTGAAACTTTGACGATGGTAATCGTTTGGCTAGATGTGCTACCCAATCATATAAAATGTCAAATATTTGGTCCTGTAATACCTAGTTCCTTATATAATCATAGAATTATGCGTGACACACTTTAACACTAAGTTAATAATCCGACGCTTTAACTTTTTGTATATGTAATCCACAGATAGACTCGTGCACGTCGTAAATAAATTGCATGAATAATAACGTGTTCTTTAAACAAAAATCCTTCTACTGAGAAATATCGTCAACCAAGCAAGATACACTTCTCTATCTTATCGTAACCACGGCAACTTTTCGTTTAACCGAAACCAATTATTACTATACTGTTTTGCAAATGAGAACGAAATAAAAGTTTTGTTCGCATGCGTGTGCAGCAAAGTCTTCACTTGTTACAGTATAATTTGTTTGTCGTGCCTTATATGTATAAAAATCTGAATGTATACCAAAATTCGTTGAAACGAAGAATATTGCGAGTTTCGTGATAAACAATCATGACCATCGGATAATCGAGAAGATTTACATCGTACGCGTCGATTAAACTAAATTATACATCTCAACAACGGTATTGTGGCAATCTATATAAATCGGTATTTCTACGCGAAATCTACGATATTGTTGCCTTGTATTGACTCACTGTAACGTACTCCTTGTACATGACATAAATTCTCTCCGTTACCCGATAACAACGCGTCTCTACTTCGTTCACATTATATAAGTGTAGATTATTGTGTAAAAATTGTTAGACATTTGATAATTTCATGGACTGTTTTATGCTTACCGCGTACGATCTACGGTAATACTGTACTAGCAAATGTTGTTGTTCCATAGCATAAAACACGGTGATAATTGGTACTCGTTAATTGACTTAGTTTACACACTTATAATGTTCGTTAAGTAACTGTCTTCTCTGTATCACAACTATGCTCTTACAACTTCCATTAATTTTCACTTGTTACATGCTTGTATAATGGTGTTCCTGTTCTGTCTGATTTAGTGCAAGCGGATAAATATTATAAATAAAGTGTCGAGATTATTATAGCGTCATAACAATTATTATGACCTCACATATCTTCCATACATACATATATACGATATATCTTTTCTAAGTATTCTCAGAAGCATTTCGTAGACGGAAATGCCAGTATCTCTGTCGCGGATATATATAATATAAAAATTAACAAAAACGAGAAAACAACAAGATCGATCTGGAACGAGAAAAAAGTAAAAAGATTCTCGTTCGTCGTGTAAACTGCGCGTATATTAAATCTATTGCAATCGACAATGTACCTGCACTCGTACAAGAGGAAGACTTAATTTGAAAAAAAATCTCGTTCTACAACTTAATCGCTGTAGTTTAAGCCTTACTTTCGTTGAATATTAAAACCTTTCCAAACACTTGCTCCTTTGTTAGCCATTTGTAAATTAAATCGTGGTAACTGAGAACTAAACAAATATAATAATCGAACAAAGCGTCGTTGAAAGATCGTTCTGAACAGGACCCGTGTTCTACTAATTTCTCCTTTCCACAAGTTTGCAAAACTACCTTTATACTTTCGCTTTATCGTTAGAGACATGGTACACGACTCTACTAGTAGAAGCTACGTAAAACCGTGTTCACCGACAGTACCATTAGTTGTTGTTACTTACAGACTGATATATAGTGGGCCGACCAACGTTATTAGAATTCATATTCGCTCTCTGAATCGTTCGGTCCTCGTATCTGGTGCTTCCTTGACTTGCCATCGGCCGATTCAACGTGCTGCAATCATAGCTAAGATCAACGTAGGGCCGAAATGTTCCAAACTAAACATGGACTCTGCTCAACTCAAATAACCAAATCGAGCACGTGTAAGTGAAGATGTGTAACGCATGTATGCAAGAAACAACTGCAGAGTCCAAAAACGAAAACAACGAAAATGAAACTTTGTCTGATCTTAAAGCAAAATAAGGACCGTGTAAGAAAACAAAGTTAATTATTCGATCGTTGGCTGATAAATCTTACCTATTAGCGTTATTGGGTGAATTAGGCCCTGAGTTTCGTGCTGCCACCGTTTTCGTGACAAAATCTTGCTCCTTCCATCCGTGCTTCTTGTAAACGTCCCTCAGTTCTTGATGCTGCCACATTGTGAATAGAACTTGTCCTATAAAAAAAAAAGTAACAGATTCGATTTCAATCGGTCGATACTGTTCATGAGAGTGAACCATTTTTCTAATGAAAGGACATAACTCGTATAAACAGTATCCTTACCTGCGAATTTAAGAACACGAGGTGTATACTTCTGGCGTTGCCTGGTTATGTTCATTAGTCTATCGACGCCACCGGCGTCCAACAACGACCGTGAAAATTCGGCGTTCTTTTTGATGACCTCGTTCAAAGTGGCCAAAACCGCGGCAATCGTGTCGTCGCTGGTCCCCTGATCGTGTTGGTTATTCCCCGAAGGTAACTTCTGAATAAGATCTCGCATAGCGTACTTCCCTATCAACTCTTTATTGCGTTGGTCGATCG